ACAGTTGATGAATGGATCAATGGGGTCGGCCGCTGGATGGAATGAACATGGTCTGAGGACGGGTTGTCATTGTTGCCAGATGCAAGTATGCCCCAGATTCTCCACCAACCAACCGGCGTGCGTTACACTGTTGTTGGTGACATCCGGCTTGGGCTGGTGTTACGGTGTTCGTCACTAGCCGGAATATGGCCCTCTACACCACGCTGGTGTGAGTGTATGTCTCAGCCATACTTGTCCAGAGTCGAGGCTCTGGCTGGCTGGCTCTGGCTGGCTGGCTGGCTGGCTCTGGCTGGCTGGCTGGCTGGCTCTGGCTGGCTGGCTGGCTCTGGCTGGCTGGCTGGCTGGCTGGATCTGGCTCTGGCTCTGGCTGGCTCTGGCTCTGGCTGGCTCTGGCTGGCTCTGGCTGGCTGGCTGGCTCTGGCTGGCTCTGGCTGGCTGGCTGGCTGGCTCTGGCTGGCTGGCTGGCTGGCTGGCTGGCTGGCTGGCTGGCTGGATCTGGCTGGCTGGATCTGGCTGGCTGGCTGGCTGGCTGGCTGTGGCTGGCTGGCTGGTTGGCTGACTCTGGCTGGCTCTCTCTCTCTCTCTCACACACACACACACACACACACACACACACACACACACACACACACACACACACACACACACACACACACACACACACACACACATTGCGAAATATATAGTTCTCTGTGAGCGTCATCAGGGAGGTCGGCCACATTAGAGTGGTTGGGTCATTAACATCATAATTGGGAAGAATCATCTTATATATATCCTAACCCGTCAAGCCTCGATGCCTGTCCCTATCAGCCACTCCGTCACAAATACGACTTTTCAGCCTAGCCCGAAGCCAATGTACAGAAAACATCTACGGCGCTGTGATTTTCACTAATACGTCGCAATCTTAACGGATTGGGTGGTTCCGTAAGAAATGCGACCTATTAGGGGAAGGGGACTGGTTGAACCAGTCATGCCGCGGGTAACCCAAGACCTGGTCGGGTCTGGTTGGGTCGACCTTGCCAGCCTGAATGATTACATTCCATCACAGTGGGTAGACCACTACCCCCCCCCCTCTCTCCCTCTCGCTAATTGTGCCTAGACGGCTCGCTACACTGTGCTGGTGTAGCTACACCAATACAGTGTAGCTACACCAGTACAGTGTAGCTACACCAGTACAGTGTAGCTACACCAGTACAGTGTAGCTACACCAGTACAGTGTAGCTACACCAGTACAGTGTAGCTACACCAGTACAGTGTAGCTACACCAGTACAGTGTAGCTACACCAGTACAGTGTAGCTACACCAGTACAGTGTAGCTACACCAGTACAGTGTAGCTACACCAGACGCAGCTCTTCGCAACTGTATATTGCAATCAGTCTTTATTTGTGGAAGATATGAAGGAAGACTGAAGGACGGTGTGGAAGAAAACGGGGCCGAGGTCTTCTGTCTTCTAATTCTTCTGTCCACCGCCTAACTTGTCGAGGTCGATGCATGCATAGAATACGTTAATATTACGGTGTTTTAACTTGTAGTATTACGTCGGAAATTTACCGGTTTGGTAGATTTCGCCCAAAAAAATTGGGTTGCAAAAGAATGTTAAGGGGTTGCAGCGTGATGTATGGTGATCATGGTGACTGTTGGTGAGCGCAGGAGGCCGTGGTGCACCAGGGGCGTGGCAGTGCCATAGATAATGGCACTCCCCGGCACAGTACAGTGATGCTCCGGCAAGGTCGACACCCACTATGGCTGATAGCAACAGACGACAGCTATATATCCTCGTAGACAGGAGTGGTACGCGTCTCCAACAGATAGACGGCGATTACGACACACGCAAGCTGCTCCGTCAATTTGCCTGTCACAAAATACGACGTACTAGCCGAGGTGTGTGACGGAGCAGCTAGTGTGGTCTTCAGCGAGGACCTGGAACTCCACCAACTCTCTCCAGGTCTTCTGAAAGGACACAAACATTGGTCAACATTATATACACACTTCCAGTTTTTATTGGTAACTTAAGGATACCCAGCGGTGCCCGGGTCTATTCCTCAGCCCGTCTACCCCTCTCCCTCCCCCCCAGTTAACCTCCTTCCCTCCCCCATGCCCCCTTTCCACCCCCTTCCCCTGTGACAACACACAGGGGGGGAGGGGGTGGAAAGCAGATTGTCAGAGAATAGCAGCAGTTCTCTGACCTGTGGTTAGTTATATCCAGGTTGACTTTCATCTATAATGTTATTGTTTACTCCATTGTTAACTGGGTAGATTGATGTCTCCAAGGAAGACAATATCTGGTACTGGGTTTACTAGGTTATCAAGGATACTATTTTGACAATTGTTACTTTGATGGGTCGTTGTGGCAGCGTTGTTAAGCGACGTTGTAGTTACGTTGTTAGTTGGGATATTATAAATATATGAAGATCTTCTGAGAAACTTTCTGGAAACCTAAATCCCTTATTTGAGTCTTCGTGGGAGAGCTGGGTATGGTACAGGAGCACGATAGCAACTGGCACTCCCATAGGCTCACAAATCACCAAGCTATGTTCTGGGGCTCTATCCTCTAAGTGTCAATCCTCCATCCTTGCACACAGACATTCTCTTTAATAGATATAGATAGTTTTGAGCACAGAGTCTCTGCTTCATGCTCACACCCAAAAGCTTCAGCTCTGCCCTGATCATGAGAGCTATGCACTAACGCCACACATTAGAGACAGATAAGCAGACGATGAGTCACAATAACGTGGCTAAAGTTATTGTGGTCTGGTCAACAGAGATAAAATAGTATTTTGAATGATCCTGGAGGAGTGTTGGGTATTGAGCCCTGCACAGTGTGATATTGATGGCTGAGTGATGGATGGATGGGTTATATACAGGCGCCACGGTACGGTAGGGAGACCTTCGCCACAACCTATGTTAGACCAATGCTGTAACATGCAGCGCCAGCCTGGAAGTCTTCATCACCAATTAGGAATGTTGGTGATGAAACTACTCGCCCAAAGCTGTTCTTCTTCATCAGGATGAACGAGGAGAGTACCAGAGCCTTCATGTGGTCGCCTGACTCTCTCTCTCTCTCTCTCTCTCTCTCTCTCTCTCTCTCTCTCTCTCTCTCTCTCTCTCTCTCTCTCTCTCTGTCTCTCTCTCTCTCCGTCTCTCTCTCTCTCTCTCTCTCTCTGGTCTCTCTCTCTTCTCTCTCTATCTCTCTCTCTCTCTCTCTCTCTCTCTCTCTCTCTCTCTCTCTCTCTCTCTCTCTCTCTCTCTCTCTGTCTCTCTCTGTCTCTCTCTCTCTCTCTCTCTCTCTCTCTCTCTCTCTCTCTCTCTCTCTCTCTCTCTCTCTCTCTCTCTCTCTCGTCTGTCTCTCTCTCTCTCTCTCTCTCTCTCTCTCTCTCTCTCTCTCTCTCTCTGTCTCTCTCTGTCTCTGTCTCTCTCTCTCTGTCTCTCTCTGTCTCTGTCTCTCTCTGTCTCTCTCTCTCTCTGTCTCTGTCTCTCTCTCTCTCTCTCTCTCTCTCTCTCTCTCTCTCTCTCTCTCTCTCTCTCTCTCTCTCTCTCTCTCTCTCTCTCTCTCTCTCTGCAGTTGACTATAAGAACCCAACAATACACTATACCCAAGGGCCCCCCCTGCCCCCCTCTACGTCCTCACCAGATGGTCCAATTAACTGACTCAGGGGGGGGGGGAGAGGGGGGCAGGGCTGGGGAAAAACAGGACCGTGTCGTCAGAGTCTACCCCGCCACCTCCACCAATATTCCCCGCCACCTAACTATCTCCACTAAATGACAGTAGAATCTGATACAAAGTTCATTCCAGAACCCTAAGTGATTCTTGTGTTGAGGAGGGGGGGGGGGGAGGGTGAGAGAAGGGGGGGGAGTGAGAGGAGGGGGGGTGAAAGGAGGGGGGGGGGGGGTGAGTGAGAGAAGGGGGGGGAGAGTGAGGGATTATCATCAGGGGAAAACGCTGCTCTTAGCTCTATCAGACCAAGAAATGGTCAAGGGATTCCAAAATCCTGGTCCGGGTTCAGTGGAAGCTTCAGGAAACCCTCGTGTATTCAGTAGAACTTCAGGTTGCAATCCTTTTGACCATGTCTGGTTGTCTGGGGCGTGTGGGGGACTGCCCACCACATAGGTTCGAATCCTCAAAACAGCTCCTACGGATTTTCTCATTGATACTATCACGTTAGTGTGATTACTCTGTGTATATAATTATTATTACCCTGCCTCACCCCTCGTTCCTCCCCCCTTGTCTTCTTCCTTCCTGACACACCTGCAGTCTACACCTGCAGCCTACACCTGCAGCCTACACCTTCAGCCTACACCTTCAGCCTACACTCTACAACACCTGTATCGCAAACTCCCCAACTGTACGCCCACACCATCCTCATTCTCAACTAAATCAGATATATTCATGAGTGCATTCGTCAGGTGTGACCACGAGTGCCACCTTCAGGTGTGGCCACAAGTGCCACCTTCAGGTGTGGCCACAAGTGCCACCTTTAGGTGTGGCCACAAGTGCCACCTTCAGGTGTGGCCACAAGTGCCACCTTTAGGTGTGGCCACAAGTGCCACCTTTAGGTGTGGCCACAAGTGCCACCTTCAGGTGTGGCCACAAGTGCCACCTTCAGGTGTGGCCACAAGTGCCACCTTCAGGTGTGGCCACAAGTGCCACCTTTAGGTGTGGCCACAAGTGCCACCTTCAGGTGTGGCCACAAGTGCCACCTTTAGGTGTGGCCACAAGTGCCACCTTTAGGTGTGGCCACAAGTGCCACCTTCAGGTGTGGCCACAAGTGCCACCTTTAGGTGTGGCCACAAGTGCCACCTTCAGGTGTGGCCACAAGTGCCACCTTCAGGTGTGGCCACAAGTGCCACCTTCAGGTGTAGCCACAAGTGCCACCTTTAGGTGTGGCCACAAGTGCCACCTTCAGGTGTGGCCACAAGTGCCACCTTCAGGTGTGGCCACAAGTGCCACTTCCAGGTGTGGCCAGGTAAACTAATGACCGCTGTTTCCCTCCCCAGGTGTGCCAATGCGATGTCACGAGGAAGGAGAAGTCATTAAGGTGCCCAGGGAGGTGGAGCGAGACAACCCCTGCATCAGTTGCTCCTGTCAGGTAGGTTATCTTGAGATGATTTCGGGGCTTTTTAGTGTCCCCGCGGCCCGGTCCTCGACCAGGCTCCTGTCAGGTAGGTTATCTTGAGTTGATTTCGGGGCTTTTTAGTGTCCCCGCGGCCCGGTCCTGGACCAGGCCTCCACCCCCAGGAAGCAGCCCGTGACAGCTGACTAACACCCAGGTACCTATTTACTGTCCCTTATTTATTTAGGTGCCCCTCCGGCCTGTATGGGATGGGAGGCTGCAGGAAGGGACAACAATGTGGGAAAGGAATAGGAGGAAGAGGACGACTGTGACGGGAAGGAGGGAGGAAGGGAGAAGGGTAAGGAGGACCAGCTTATGTAACTCACTGCTCCAATCCCGCCAAACACACACCCAAACTACGACGTTGGTACAACGTTCGAACAAGTTTTAACACCTAACCAGTTATAACAACCAATATAACAAGTTGTAACAACGTTCTAATATGTCATAAACACGTTAAGTCAAGATGTAACAACTTTATTACAAGTTGTAACAAGCGGAAAAATAGAGACAGTTTCGGTTTGTGTTTCCAGGGATGTCTCCTCTATGGGGGGAAATTAACACCATAATTCAAATTTGAAACACACACATGGAGAGCCTTGTATACACAGCTTCATGTAGAAACTAAGATCCGGATTCACGAAGCAGTTACGCAAGTACTTACGAACGTGTTCATCTTTCCTCAATCATTGACGGCTTTGGTTACATTTATTAAACAGTTTACAAGCATGAAAACTTGCCCATCAACAGTTGTTATTGTTATAAACAGCCTCCTGGTGCTTCGGAGCTCATTAACTGTTTAATAATTGTAAACAAAGCCGCCAAAGATTAAGAAAAGATGGACAGGTTCGTAAGTGCTTGCGTAACTGGTTCGTGAATCTGGGCCTAGGTGAGTACACACACACAGGTGTCAGCAAGGCGGCCAGCCCGACAGCCTGCTGTCACAACAGCGTTACCAGAGAGACAAATCCTACAGATATTTACATACCTTTATAGGAAGAAAAGAAGCTATCAGGGAAAAAGCGCCAAGCCATTACGACTATATAGCACTGGGAAGAGGGTCAGGATAAGGATTTGGGATGGGACGGGGGAAGGAATGGTGCCCAACCACTTGTGGACGGTCGGGGATTGAACGCCGACCTGCATGAAGCGAGACCGTCGCTCTACCGTCCAGCCCAAGTGGTCGATAGGAGTGCCAGGGTGTATGAAACAGTGTTGCCAGAGCGGGACAAGAACTTTCCTCTGGCAGTGATGAACATTCTCTCTCCTCCAATTAAGAATATATCTTGCCGCTAAAAATGTTCTTCATTTTGTTCACTGTTATCATCAGGACTTTTTATGCATGTAATTGATGCCACTCATCTTTAACTGAGCAAGTTAAGTGCCTCCAATTGGCACAGTTCAGCTGGGAAAACAAAGATGGCCGTTATTATGTTGTCAACAGTTCACCCAGACTACTAGTGTATCAGGGTGTACTAGGGGGTGTATTATGGGGAGGGGTGTATCAGGGTGTACTAGAGGGGAGGGTGTACCAGGATGTACTAGGGGGGAGGGTGTACCAGGGTGTACTAGGGGGAGGGTGTACTAGGGGGTGTACTGGGGGGGGTGTACCAATGTTTTTCAGGAACACAGATGTAGCACTACAAGAAGTAATGTAATGAACTGTTTATGGCAATATCATGTTTCCATCATTGGATACCATTTCGTGCAAATTTCAAAGGCCATAAAATAACACTAACCAGCGCTCCTCTGAAGTATACAACAGTTCCTTGTTTAAATTGAATAAAGACACATAATAAAGTCATTTTCTAAACCACAAAAGAACTCTTTCTAGATATAAATAATTCATTTACGCTCGCGACCCCCGGCTGGAGTAATTAATTTACGCTCGCGACCCCTTGAGTGTGAAAAAAAGTCAACACAGTGTCGTTGGGTCGTTACGTCTGCTGTTCGAAGACATTCTGCAACCACTGTCGTGCGTCTGCAAGAAGGGTAATGAATCTGTTGAAGATCAACTGTCTTTTTTGGGTATTTCGCGTACTGTTTATGACTCGTAGCGGCGCCTGGGAGACTGAGGGAAGCGGTGTTCGTTAGCAAGATCCGCCATGTTGGGATTCCCACGTGTTTCAGATGTGGTGGGCGGTGGTGAGGGCTCGTCTGGGGAGGTGATTAGAGTGAGGCTGGGTGGTAATGCGGCCATTGTGGGGTTGGGTTGTTAACACCGAGCCGCTGGTTCGTCCAGGACTGGTCAACAACGCCTTCCCTTGCTTGTTAGCTCATTGGCTCTCTCAGTAAAAGAAATGATGAATCTGTTCAACCGATCAGAGGGGAAATAAATGAAAAGAAAGAGAGGAAGATGAAATAAAAAAGAGGGAAAAGGAGATAAGAAAGAGGGAAAAGGAGATAAGAAAGAGGGAAAAGGAGATAAGAAAGAGGGAAAAGGAGATAAGAAAGAGGGAAAAGGAGATAAGAAAGAGGGAAAGTGAAAGAAGAGACGAGACAAAAGATGAGAAGTAGTGAAACATTAAGAAACAGGAACAGTTCAATACCCAAGACTCGAAACCAACTCCCAGCGGAGTGGACTGTAGGCTGGTGACCTCGGAGACCCGGGTTCGACACCCCAATGAATTATTGTTTTTCATTTCATTTCTTTATTATGCACCCGATACCCATCCCGTGAGCGGTGGTGGGGAGAGGGTTACAGAGGCACATAATGGGCTCAGGCACTCGACCCCGTGGCTCGTTTAGCTATGCAAGTGACAGTCCTGTCACGCTTGTTACACAATTGTTAATGTTACATATACATGTAGATATACATGTACATGTATACTACATGTATATCTACATATAAATGTAGATATATACATATGTACAGGCGATGAGTCACAATAACGTGGCTGAAGTATGTTGACCAGACCACACACTAGAAAGTGAAGGGACGACGACGTTTCGGTCCGTCCTGGACCATTCTCAAGTCACAATCGACTTGAGAATGGTCCAGGACGGACCGAAACGTCGTCGTCCCTTCACTTTCTAATGTGTGGATTGGTCAATATACACATGTATATACATACATGTATATACATACATGTACACAAATAATCAATAATCCTTTCATATCACAAGTGAAGGAGTGGTGACGACACTCCTAGCACAGCAAAAAGGAGGCCCTGGTCGAGGACCGGGCCGCGGGGACGCTTAGCCCCGAAATCACCTCAAGATAACGGCCATAAGTTGCCGTCGTCAGTGCTCGTTGTCGTCTCTGGGTGGAGGTTATCTTCTTGAGGTTATCTTGAGATGATTTCGGGGCTTTAGTGTCCCCGCGGCCCGGTCCTCGATCAGGCCTCCACCCCCAGGAAGCAGCCCGTGACAGCTGACTAACACCCAGGTACCTATTTTACTGCTAGGTAACAGGGGCATAGGGTGATAGAAACTCTGCCCAGTGTTTCTCGCCGGCGCCTGGGATCGAACCCGGGACCACAGGATCACAAGTCCAGCGTGCTGTCCGCTCGGCCGACCGGCTCCCGTGCCATGCGCAGACATGATCGATGCGCTGTATTAGTCATGAGGCGTGAGTCAGTGCCTGTGAGGAGGTGAGTGTGCGTGACCACACTCATCATGGACTCCTGGGGAAGGTTGATGAGGGGACGGGTGAGGGAGAGAGAGTGAGGGGACGGGTGAGGGAGAGAGAGTGAGGGGGACGGGTGAGGGAGAGAGAGTGAGGGGACGGGTGAGGGAGAGAGAGAGAGTGAGGGGACGGGTGAGGGAGAGAGAGTGAGGGGACGGGTGAGGGAGAGAGAGAGAGAGTGAGGGGACGGGTGAGGGAGAGTAAGAGAGAGAGTGAGGGGACGGGTGAGGGAGAGTAAGAGAGAGAGTGAGGGGACGGGTGAGGGAGAGTAAGAGAGAGAGTGAGGGGGTGGAGGAGAGAGGTAGAGGAGCAGGGTAGCCAAGATGGAGGACTCTCCCATCCTAAGGTAATATATACAAGTGGTTCACCACATATGGAGCAGCGTGCAGCGTACATATTTATAAATGTTGGGTGGAACAGTGGCTGGAGGGGTTGGTAACCCTGGTGGGTGTAGCCGCCATGTTGGTACACTTGGTGCAACGTTGGTGTCAGGCTGTACCTGTTCTGTAACCCATAAAACAGGTTCTACGTGGTTCTGTAACCCATAAATAGGTTCTACTTGGTTCTGTAACCCATAAAACAGGTTCTACGTGGTTCTGTAACCCATAAAACAGGTTCTACGTGGTTCTGTAACCCATAAATAGGTTCTACTTGGTTCTGTAACCCATAAAACAGGTTCTACGTGGTTCTGTAACCCATAAAATAGGTTCTACGTGGTTCTGTAACCCATAAATAGGTTCTACTTGGTTCTGTAACCCATAAAACAGGTTCTACATGGTTCTGTAACCCATAAAACAGGTTCTACGTGGTTCTGTGACCCATAAAATAGGTTCTACGTGGTTCTGTAACCCATAAAACAGGTTCTACTTGGTTCTGTAACCCACAAATATAATCCCAAGAGATAATTGGTGGCCCGGAATAAAAGTATTTCATCAAGAGGAAATACAGTTTTCTTCAAGAAGTGCCGGACCAACCAGGCTGTGGTGGGTATGTGGGTCTGCGGGCCGCTGCAAGCAACAGCCTGGTGGACCAAGCTCCCACAAGTCAAGCCTGGCTTGGGGAGTAGAAGAGCTCTCAGAACCCCAGCCAGGTACAATACCTTTGAACACAAGAGGCATATACTAGCTGACTTCACTGTATTCAAAAGTCACTTTATAAATACTTCCAAAAGGTGCCCAGTCACATGATGTCAGGCTGTGAGCAGTGGCGTCTAACAGCCTGGTTGGCCAGCATGCCAACCAGGTCAAGCCAGAGACCGGGCCGCACGGACATTAATCCACGGAACCCTCACAATGTAGGTTCAGCACTTCTCTACACACTTTAGGGCCAGACACAACTCAGTACACCA